TCGAACTCTAGAATTGACAGATCAGGACTCAGTACTGTCTACTGAGTACAGGAGTGCAAGTGATTATATTTGTCCTAGCTTAGTATTCACATAGCCATGTGTATACGCGTACTGCGTGACGCGCTTGTTTCACGGCGGTCGCGCGCTACCAGCTACTGCAAGCGAAAGGGCTCTAGTTAGAGCAAAGCGTAGTATACTAATAAGCTAATATAGTAATCGGTAAGACATATCTACGCACATGTAGGGATACACATTGAATTGTAGCTCGATGCACTACTGGGCCGCGCCGCGCCCAGTAGTGCATCCAAAATTAATGAAAATATTAACTGACGATGTCAATTCATCTCAGCTCGGCGCGGCACAGTAGTGCATCTCACCCATCTAGAGATTTTCCCAGTCATAAATTAACTTGACCATTGTTAATGATCTGGCCCGGCGCGCGCTACTTCGTAGCTCGTGCCGTCGGGCCATTTCGAGAAAAAAGCCGCGCGCGCTACTTCGAAGAAATTTAGACGAGTAACATCCGTCAAAAATTAACCCGCTATAATAATCCCGAGTATAGTAAGGTAAACGGACTTTTTATTAATGCTACAGACATTATTAATTTTCGCGGACACAATTATTTGCACTAACGTCTTCAGCACGTCATGAGCCGTGAAAGTAATGTCCGTGATAATTATGACCGACAAGATGTACATAGTTTTCGTAATAATTGCCATGAGTTGGCACCAAATTTTTCCTCCGATTTTGATAAATTTTGTACTGAAAGTTGTCTAAAAATGTGAATGAAATAATTCCACCCTGTAGCGATTTTCGCTAAAAATGCTGTACGGCGCTTGTTTGCCGCGCCTGCTTTTTTCGCACAAATTTGTAGTTTTTGGTCTAGAACTTTCAACATTTCAGTTGCTGTTAAATAATTATCATGGCATCGTAATCAACTCATTGAGACGAAACTTTTAGTAATAATATCATAAGATTCAAATATGTTAAAGGAAAATATTTTCAAATTTTTAAAACCTGAACATAACGGTCCCCCTTGTAAGAAATTTAAAAAAAAATGTCGTAAAAAATATTCGGTATTTTAGGAGTTATATGCATTTTAAGTAAGAAATAACCTATTTTTCGTCCTTTTTACACTCTTGTAATGCACAGGAGGCCCACATACAGCTCGACGTTATCGTGCTACATGGTAAATATGCATTATTCACACTTAGAGGAAATCGGCTTGTTTACTGGTCCCTCATAAGTATCACACAATGTAATGTGCAATTTATTGAATGTTCCACGTGCTGATTGGGTGTCTGATCGCCTGCTGACTTGGTAGTGTGCAGCTGATTAACAATCACCTTATCAGTTAAATGAGGTAATCTGTTGATCTCACGTGATGGTTAGATCCTGCAGCTGTTGGCATGGTGGACCGTGGATCGCATTATCCTAATGGCTGACTTAGTGCATCGAAATTTGAGTCAGCTTCAGATTGAAACACTGTGCTCTAAATTTAAACGGTATAATGTGCTCAGCAGCAGCTCCATAAGTCAGAATCTGGCCATTATGTACCTTCACTCCCAACAAGCCGTTTTATTCCTCAGGGAAGTTGCAGTGGCGTAACGTTGCCTGTTGGTGCCCCCCGCCGAAAAAGGCGCCCACCTGTTGGCGCCCCCTCCCCTTTTGGTGCCCCTCCCTTTAATTGAACAAAATTAGGCGATTTTAGAGGATACGCCGGTAAAATCTCTAAAAAAGTGATTTAGAGCAAAATGCGCAGTTTTGCTAGTACTCTAGTTAAGTTTTCGAAATTTTCCCACATTCAAACGACGATTTGGCGCCCCCCTAAGACGGCGCCCCCCCCCCTCCCCCTGCACAGCGGGGTCAGCAGGGCCCTTCGTCACTGGGAAGTTGATGCACCTTTACTGAGAATAGTCACTTCGGTCTACTTGCTTTCAGGTGCCTCAGCTACATTTTAATGAGAAAAGACAATTTCATTATTCATCACCAATTCAATGTTTCAATTCATAATCAATAAATATATATCCGAATAAATTTGATTTAAAATTAAATGATACAAGTATGCTAGCAGCTAGCGCGCTTTTATTTGATCAATATCAAATATACACGCTGTTGAAATGGGTCTTACCACACTGGGATTATACTTAAAATGATGAATCATATGTTTAAAGTTGAAATGTGCTTATTTGTGCTTCATCACAACAAATTTAGTTGGTGTTTGACGAATTCGGAGGTTTTAAAATCTTACTATGTATAAAGCAGGACAATATATACTAATTAGTTGTGATCTCCCAAGCTTTCGCTGTATGTAACATATTCCACATGAAAATGAGAGATAAAAGCTCTGTTATTCTTTTCCATCGCGGGCAGAGCGTTCATTTATGACACAATCACGTGGCACTATTGTGACATAAATAACTGTATTGTTCGTTTAACGGTAAATTTTTAATTTCCAGGAGGTCTGATTAATCGAGGGTTAGTTTTACATCTTACTATATATTAAGCAAGACAGTATATATTACATATCTGTTGCCATTTTACTGACACCACGTCATCAATTTTAACACAACTTTCCACAAAAGATATAGAGATATACCATTGAAACTTTGTTGAAGGAATAAGAACTTTAGGTCCCGAAATCTGAACCGCCAAGTGGTGTAAATATTAATAAATAAATATATTATAAACTATAACTGTAGTGTGTGTTAAAAAAATTTAAACTTGATGCTATGTTTTGTAATCGTATTTGCACAGTTTTATTGAGATGTTTCACATGATTTGAATCTGTTCTCGATCTACCCATGTATGTTGCAACTTATTGTTGTACAGATGTCAAAGAACTTATTGAGCTGCCATTTGGGCCCTTCTCCATTATATGTACCTGGATAATAATTAAAGGATTTACTGAAATATGTAGTATACAATCCATCTGATCAAGCTGCCCTTTTTAACGAATATTTTTATGAGCAGTTTTCTCAAGAGAGCGATTATGGCATTGACATAGATTTTCGTGATGATTGTTTCTTGCACTTGCATTGAATAACAGGTCCAGGACTGATATAATATATTTTGATTTTGCGAAAGCCTTTGATAGTGTTTCGCATGACCTCATTTTAAGTAAATTAAAGAATATTTTTAATGTCGATGGACTAATGCTTAAATTTATTAAGTCCTATCTTGAGGGGCGACAACAACAAGTAGTGATAGGAGGCCAAACGTCTTCTTCTCTACCAGTTCGGTCTGGTGTCCCTCAAGGTTCTATACTTGGCCCTTTATTGTTTGTAATATTTATAAATGACATGTTCTCCTGTGTCTCTGAAGGCACCAATATCGCCCTTTATGCAGATGACACTAAAATTTGGAGGGAGATCCTTGGTTACCCTGACCATCACATAATCCAAAATGACATCAACAGATTATATGATTGGTCAGTGAGAAATCGAATGAAGTTCCACCCACAAAAGTGCAAAGCCCTCTCTGTGTCCCTGCAAAGAAACGTGCTGGATAACTTGCCATTCAATACCTTCTTTTATAAACTTTCTGGAAGTGATATTGACTTTGTGCCCTCTCAGTCAGATTTAGGAGTCGCAATAAACTCCAGGTTTAATTGGGGTGCACAATGTAAAGCGCTTGTTTCCAAAGCTACCTCTAGACTTGGACTACTTAAGAGAACATGTCATTTCACTACTGATAAAAGGCAGAAAAGATCGTTCTATTTAGCGTTAATTAGGTCTATATTTGAACATTGTTCTGTCATATGGTCCCCTCAATCTGCAACTCATCTTCAACAGTTTGTTGCTATCCAAAAGAGGGCTATTAAATGGATCAATGGTGAACCTTACTCCAGTTATAATGACGATAAACTTGCTACAGAGCAAAAGAAACTAAATATTCTCCCTGTTAAACAGAAGTTTATTTATAACGATCTTATGACCTTCTATAAAATAGTGAATAGCATAATTCCAGTTTCGCTCCCTACATATATAGTCCTATGCCGTCCAGAGGGCACCCGATACACTAGGCACAATGCCCAAATAATTGATATGTCGGATACTTCAACATACATGAGTACCACTGTGCCCTGCTCGGATGCCTTCCGAAATAGCTTTTTTCATAGATCTATGCTGAAATGGAATAGTCTACCAGTATGTATCCGGCAGTCAGAGCGGATTTCTACTTTTAAGGCCAAACTGATCAAGTACCTCTGGGCTGCCGATACAGTCTGGCCAGATTAGCTCATCACTCTTATGAGTCTCAGAAATTTATTTTTGTTGGTTACAATTCTGTCCGTCCAATTTCCTATCTGCTTGTCCTTTTCTTTTTTCTTTATCAGTTGTGACGGAATTGTAATGAACAAAATCCTTATAATTATTTATGATATGTTTGATTTCTTGTTAATGTTTGTCATTCAAATTTGGTAGATGGCCCCAACGTTAATGTGGCTCTTGCTATGTGTTGGTTCAGCCGAATTAATTATTATATAATCAAGTTTATTTTTCTCGTTAGTTGTCATCCGGCCAAACATTAAGCAACTTATATTGCAGTACCATTTATCATTTAGTATATCAAAATATGTCATTGTAATTTTGCATGGCTGAAATGTAACGCTTGATTTATATATATAATGATTAATTGAATTTTCAAATAAAAAAAATAAATGGGATGGGTGAGGTAGAAAATGAGAAACCTTAATCGATTTTATAAATTTTCACAAATTAGACAACCTCAGCTGTAATTTTTATATTGATCATTGCTAATAACATTTCTTACATATCTATACTATAGCTACCTTGATCAAATTTCCTTTTCAAGTTCAAGACTTTGAGTATTCATTTAGATTCTGATATCAATTATATTGATGATGCATATTAGAACAAAAAGAATACCATGTTTGGTCCTACAGGCTACAGTTTCCTGAACTAGCTGTTTTACCAGTCTCGAATATCCTCACAGCATCATTATAAATACCATTTAAACTGTAATCACTCATTACTTGTTTTCAGATGTAGCTTATGTGAAATCAGTTGAGTAGCAGAGATGTCTGACCTATTTGGAGGCCTTGTCCTGTAAGTACATATTTTATTGTGTTTCGGATTGTTCGGATTAAATGAGCCAGCTTACTTTAGGGTAAAGGGGTTTGAAATAGTTTGCTGTAAGTTCTATGCAACAGCCTAGCTATGTATAAAATAGCATGCGGAGGAAAAATGACATACATGATATGTGAATGATTCTTTGAATAAGAAACTATCCGCAAACACACACCCAACTCTTATGTTTGGTATTTATCTCGCTTGAATGACTTAAATGTACATCTTTGTTGGGTATATTTTAATGTAGAAGCGTGTAATAAATGTTAAAATTTATTTATTATTTATTATTTAACCGTTTTCAATTATATCCACTTTAATTCACATTTTCTTGCCTGTTTTAATGTGCTGTGCAATATTATCATCACTATATCTGCATAAGTTCATTCGTATTCTCCTTTCTTCAGCATTTCTGCTGGAACTCTCTACCCAGCCTACTCCTCCTACAAAGCTGTAAAAACTAAGAATACCAGAGAATATGTGAGTTATAATTAACATTTAAGTTGGTTTTAAAGGGGCATTATTAAAGGGCAATCATACAAGTATTCGTGTGGAATGTAATTTGCAAGTAAATTTACTGAAAGCAGCTTTGGGAACACTACACTGCCTAGTACCATGTTTTAGATCAATGCCATTTATAGTCATTGCCCTCATTCTCCCAATCTACCAGGTGAAATGGATGATGTACTGGATTGTCTTTGCGTTCTTCAACGCCCTCACCCTCTTCACTGACATCTTCATATCTTGGTTCCCGGGATATTATCTATTTAAAACTCTCTTCATTATCTGGCTGGTTTCCCCCGCAACCAGGGTAAGTGTTTTCTCTTGTTCAACACAGCTCACAGTTTTAACTGCACAACAACAACCCAAGTTTCACTTTCTCCACTTTACTTTTAGTTTTCCCTGAAAGTGCAGTGGAGAAACTGGAAATTTTAGTACTATTCTGGGCAATCCTGTATATAACTTAGCAGACCAGAGACCTATTAACGAAATGACGTGCTGATATGTTCTGCATTCTTTATGTGATCTTTCCTCTTGCTCAACCAACTATCCAACGTTAAACGGTCGTGTTGTGTTGATGGAAGGAGAATATTTATCATAGTTACAGATTAGCGTCTATTAGTTAATTTGAATAGTCGATATTATATAACAGGCACGTGCCAGAGGAGCTAAATTATATTATTATATAACACGGTGTTGATGTACATATCTTCTCAGGGGTCAACTTATCTCTACAAGAAAGTGCTACATCCCACACTGAGACGAAATGAAGAGGTAACAATATAATATATCTTCTGTACATACTTTGTAAACTTGAGGTGAAGCGGGTGATGACTAGTTTCTGTCACTTCCTAGTCGTAATAACTTCTGGAAGTAGAAAAGCTTAGACTTGTTATTTATAACTTAAAAATTAATCTTTTAATCACGTGTCATAATAAATGGCACTATGAAAGGATGCTGTTATCATAACAATCGTTGTAAAAATGCAACATACATTTTTCAGAAAATAGACAAGACGATAGCCAACATCAAGGAGCGAGGGTACGATTACACCTCCCAGTACGCCAGACTCGCAATGCAGAACTTTAGTAGAACCCTCATGGAAGCTGTATTCAGGGTACGCGTACGTTATTATCCTTCTCTAGCCAGACAGAGATTTGTTATGGGTCATGTGCATAAAAGGAAGAAATTGTTCCCTCGATTGAATGCCTTAAATAACATTATTAGTTATTACTTAATAGTATTTAGATGTGAACTTGAAGTTACTGATCCCTTTAGCGTAAATCTCCGCAGGGACAAGTTATGATAGCCGATCAGATGCAGCGACAGTACATGCAAAATAATGTAAGTAATCCAAGTCCTACTATCATTCTCACTGTAAATCTGTAAACTTACAAGGATTACAACCTATAGGGTTGCCTCTGGCCAACTTGCCGAGCACATTCAATTTTCATTGCAGCTAACCACAGACCTGTTGTAAAATTTACCCTTACTAAGTAAGTTTTAATTTAATAAGAAATGTTGAGGACCGACACAGGGCACAGTTCATTCAATTGTGCTCTCTTCTAATGACTTCAAACTGACATCTGATATATTTTGTAATCTTACCACAATTTGTAGAACCAAACCACTGCGTCGAGTTACAGAGTTTCAGGCCCTGTTTTTGGTTATATATAACTTTTAACCCAAATTACGAATCTTACGATTATCGCTAAAACAGACCGGGCCCACTGTCCAAACTGATGGCAGAGAATCAGAGAGAATGAGCCGCAGTTCGGCTCCTCCTCAAAACGCCCAGTTCCCTCAAGATGACCAGTTCGGCAGACTCTATAGAGTGGATTCGCAGATGTTCGAAATGGACGATGAGTTTGTCGAGCTCTCAGCTGATGTTGATGGGGATAACCTTCACCCTGACCAAGTAGGTTTTAGATAATGGGATTCAAAATATTTCCTTGTGTTTAAGTTGGTTTTTCCCCACAGATCGTGTTGGAGGATGAGAACGGGAATCCTGTACACGTGCTGTCCAGTAACGTGGTGTACTCAGGGGATCACATGACGGGCGCCCCACAACACGTGATCACATCACCACAACAACACATCACTCACACCACCACCAACTCAGCTGAACCCTACTCACAGTATACAGACGAGAATGTATTCGAGCTGCAAGAGTACGAGGAGTTTGAACCTCCGCCTCAGGTTACATTAGCATTACAAATCATATAATCAGCAACACAGCCGGGTACAAAAACAGCATGTGCCATGGTTTTTATTTCAGGGCATGAGATATTCCAGTAATTGGTATGACCAATTTACCGTTTGATAAGTCAAAAATTCCGCACTGTATTGGTCAGATTGAACTGATAATCATGCCCCAACAATCTCTAATTTCGATCTTCTCGGTTCCCACGTTCGCAAAATCTTTCGAAGGTATTTTCTAAATATGCAAGCTATTGAAGCTATGAAAGTCATCGCAGTCACAGCTTAATTCCTTTGGGATTTAACCGACAAATATTTAGCGGGTACTCACCTTGCCTCCCTGACACATACTGTTAAAATGTTTCGTGATGGTTGCCATCAACGTTACCATTCTTAACGTCCCCCCATGTCCCAAACTCACGTAAAATAAACCTGATTTTCGCAGTCAGCGGAGAAATTATGACTTCACTTTAGACTTTGACATTTCTATTACAGTATTACGAACTTTTTACTGTGCGTACATTCTTTTCGTAAGGCATTCTAAACAAGGTTTCGTATTGAGTTAAAACAAACCGGTAATTAGGCTTCATGTCAAGGGTACGTACATTATACAAAAATACCAACATTCTTGCACAATGAGACGCCTCAAAGGGGAGCCTATATGTTGACAGATCGCAAGAAACTTAAATGCACCATTAAAAATGCATCAAAAAGTAAAGGAAACGATTTATATTGCATTAGGTTTCCATTGACCTCCACCCTCAATGACTAAATACCAGGAAACTTATAGAATACACTCGGCATTTTGATTACTATATTATTATTATTTACCTTATTCCGTCATCTCACTCTAACGATTTATCCAACAGAGCGCCGCGCGGCAAAGGAGACGAGCCCACAAGTCCCGTGGGAACAGACCCAAGTCAATGCCACCACCCACCATCGACGAGATTCAACATCCCCTGGGAGATCCTCTAGATGATCAGTATCTCGAGGGTGTCCAATCTGACCCTGATTATGCTCCAGATGATGAACTTGAGAATTCGGTGAGTTATAACCACAGTCCGTGATTTGTTGCAGAACCACATCAATTGTTTATGGAACTGATAACTGTACCGATTTTCTTAGAGGAGATAAAAATGTCGAATATTGTATTTTATTGAATGTGGTTATAGTCCGTAGGGTAGGAAATATAATAATGAATCTAGCCATTAATTAAGTTGGCTATTTATTAAATAGTTGTTAGACTCACTATTCAATAATAGAAATTAGTCAGAATTAAATTTTGGAATTTTACAGAGAAATTTCGTTCGGTACAGAGTGAGTAAAAAGTTGAAAATATACCTTTTCTCTTCATATTCTGATTTAGGTTTAAGAGTGTGGTTTTCTAAGCCTGACAATGCACATCTTGCGCAACCATGTTTCTGAAGCATCACAATTCTAATACGAAGTAATTGGCCACTTTCAATATCTCTGAACCGGGTTATTGTTGTGGCCACTTGTTTTCTTGAAATTGTTGTTTTCTTGACTACGCGGATATAGTATAATGATCTCACTGAACCACGTGTAGCCAGTGCTACTTGATTAGCCTCTTGAGGCACAGGACATAACTATACATACACATCAGTGCCATTGTTATACACGACATGTATTATAACCGCATAGAACAGAGAAAATGAACTTTTATTTTGGTAATGTCCCTGTAATTTTATACTTGAAATGTTGAAAGGTGAGAGGGATATGTCACAGATTGGTTGTAACACCTGACTGTGCTAGTGTGTGAAGGAAGTCTTACTTCTGAGAATAATAACCGCAGTAACCAGCAAGTAACCAGCAAGATAATTGGTAGTGGGCAAATTTAGGGCATTTAATTTGCCATTCAACCTCATTACTGACCGCAGTTTAATTAAGACATCGGTATCCTAATTAGCCTGTACTACATTTGAATTGTTGTCGTTGTTTTATATTTAAATGAGGAACACTCGCAAAATTCAGAAATTGTACGTGTTGGATGTAAAAATTACAAATTTAAAATTTACAAAACATAATTTCATAATTTCTCTGGCAAACTTAAATTGTAAATTTAAAATTAACAAAACGTTCAGTTAAATTACTGTTGACATAGTGTGGTGAAAGCTAGTTCGCTAAATTTATTTTGTTGGTCGTGGCATGCCAGTACTAGAAAGACGGGCCACGTGACTGGAATATATTTTAGAAAAAGAGTGTGACCCCACGTCGACATAGTGTGGCAGTTACCACACCACAACAGCGAGTGAGTGAGAGCACGGGGGCTACTTTCATGTGTGCAGGCTGCATGTATAGAAACTGTACAATAATGCATGTATAGAAACTGTATAATAATGTTTAGTGATTGTGTGCTGAAATAAATGAAGAAATGTTAGAAATTGGGGAAATTGGAAATCTTAAAAAACAACTTTAATTCGGATTTTTCAATGTGTTGTGCATGTTGTAAAGTGATGTGCTTCTTTGAAGTTTTAGTTTTTTAGCAAAGATTGTTAAATCAGCAGTCATCTACACAGATTGTTATGTGAAGCATGTAATTGCAAATTTAAAAGTTTTCTCTGCTGATTCGATAACTTTATACATCACTCTTGTATAAAATGTCACATAACATTGCTTATACATTCCGTACAGGTGTAGCACCACTGCAACTACTATATAATAAGTTATTTCTACTCAACTTTAAATTCTAGGTATAGATAGCAGGAAATGAAATAGTATATTATACCGTTACCCTTGGTAACGGTAACCTTGACTATAATTACCTTGGAAATGGGCCATAAATTGGCCATTTAGTCCCTTCTACAGTTGTACCCATGGCCTGAACCATTGTTTGAATGGTGTAGGCTCAGGACAATGGTAATTTATAGAATGTAGCCCTACATACATTATTACATTCTAGTCACAGTCTAACATTTACTTGTGGTTGTTGAGTGATTAACCTCAGTTTAGCTTGTGTAATATGTATAACTGTCATATTATGATGAGTTCTATTTAGCAGTGAGTACCACAAAACAATGAGCCGAGACAAATTATAGTTCAATGTGGCTGAATGCTAGCCGCTAGGAAATGTTCATGTTCATTGTTCATTTTCCTTTGTCTTAAGTATGATGTTTTCAATGTTATCTCAAACAAAGTAGATGATATTTGTCTGTAAATGGTCCATTTGTCGACGATACGCCGAGACTAACAATGTGCGAATACAAAGTATTAGGTGAGGCCTATAATAATAATAGTAGGAGTGCAGGATATTACCAACATGAAGCTTAGATCACGCTGTCAGTAAATGTGATCATGTAAGTGAGTAATAGCAGCTGAAATTAAGTTATCTAACTGCGTTAATTTTTCTCGGCTGCACTATGCTGCTTCTTAATTAGTCCTGAGATTATACGGCTTCAATCTGCGTGTAGTTCGTTTCCAGTGAAGAAAGAAATGAGTAACTTTGAGGCTTGCACGTGTGTGTTAATGTATATGTGTCATCATTATTCACAAGAATTAAGTTCATTATTATTAAACTTTGTCTTGAGCCGCATTATAACCTGTCAATTGTCAAATGTCAGACGATATTATTGTAAATTGCGCAAATTCCATCATTAGCTAACATTAGGAAGTGTCAAATATTTCGACAATCAGTCAAATTCTTTGTACATGCGTTGATGAAACATTTAAAAGTCATATAATGTGGTCATGCTATTAATAATATTGCCGTCTACAATGCAACTTTCAGAGCTTACATCGCAAAATTCGATGTGTAATCATAGCACCAAAGTTGAATATTATGCCATCATCTACTGTCAACAGTCCAATTAGACAGCTATGATCACACAAATCTGGCCCAATTAATCAATAAATTGTAGTTAGATTAATTTGATAAATGTTTCATTGAGAAGCGAAACAAATAAACCCTTCAACGGACCAAAATAAAAAACATGAATGATCTATCAACATTTTCTGTCATGTCATTGTTTTGTCATGAAAATAAGCAAACTGTTTTAGCCACGTTATTATTTACTGTCTACATTATTTTACAACGGCTTCACCACATCCACCAGTAATCACATCAGATCTACATTGTTTCTATTTGTGTATCTGTTATCCTCACTTATTAATTATCTAATCTATTTTTACATCATACAAACAGTGCACATTCGTGTTAATCATGAGAAATGACGGATGTGTTATTGTAATTAACACATCAATGTTTTAATTACCTCGCATTCTCATTTCTAACACAATTCAACACAATCGTACACTTTTACTGCATAAATTAGATGTAAAGCTGAAAAACACGTACTGCTCAACTGAAAACATCACCCCAGTACCGCGTGCGTGTAGTCTAAGTTTGATTCGATTAGTACCATTTCGAATTTACGGGTGCTGCACATCCAATTCGTTTACCATAACATTGGTAATGTGAAAGTATGAAATGGGACAAGAGAAAAGCAGTGCTAAACTTCCAAATGTGACATGGGAGTTAACCCTTACAGTACTCAGTGATCTATTATGTTGTTGAGCAGATGATTTATTTGTCAGCTGGTGAGAATCGCTTAATATGTCGTTTAGACTAAAAAGTTGTATCATTCGCCTTTCAACAGGTGTACTATGACTTGGTTAAGATTGCCTGTGTGGCATTCGCAGTGAATGAGAAATGACCTGATGCATCTTCCATTTTAGTTCAAAATTTACAGACTTGCACGTAGCGCGTGTAGTAAAATTGTATATTCACTTTTGCATCGCTATCGCTATTTATCACGCGCGTTACAAAAAGACGCGTTGTAGAATTAAGTTGCTAAGCAATTATTAGTCGATCAAAACTTTAATCTGCATAAAACAATAACATTACATATAATTAGCACTATATGAATTTATCTTATTAGATATCTTATCTCGAAACGGAGCAGTCTTGTACGGAGGTAAAAAGGCTGCTAACACCACTTTTCAGATATTCCCCGCTAGGATTCCATCTGGTAAAACTAACAATAAACAAAAATCTAAAGTTAATAAACTTCACTCACGGTATGCGGCACTATCAAGCACCTCCCAAAAAAATCCGGTGGTAATTCAGTCAGTTGACCGGATTAGGCCGGATAATCCGGCAGCTGATAGTTCTTCTCCCACTTGGTCAATCGAGTCAGAGGACAATTATCCAGACTATCAATACAGCTTTTGGAGTGCCTTAATGTAGGTGTAACTTGCACATTGCGGTGTGAATTTCACCTGAGTCGTCGCATTTCACTCACGATTTACGATTAAGCATACCGCTGTGATTATATATAATCTACCATGTTAAAACATGAAATAAAGCTCATTAGATGGTAATTGTCACTGATAAAGTTCTTTCATCGCCATTAGAAAGCATCCGAAAATTGCAGAAAATAGACTATAAGTTTCTGGTTACTCTGAGAAAGCTGTTTCTGAAAAGTATTTTGTTTAAAATCGTAAAGCCCATTTGCGTAGTGTCTGTAATCGTGATTACAAGCCCTTATTAACACTTTAACACGGACCAGTAGCACGTTTCTTTTCATTTCATTATCACTCTATAATTAGAAAATATTTTCAGTCGAAGTCTAGTAAGAGACAAGCCGCGGAACAGGTTAGAATAATGTTATTGTTATGATATTATATCAGTAGTATTTCGAACTTTACAATGATGTATGATTATTATTAGTATATACAGTTTAAACATGAAAACTACCTGAAATTTAATTCGTAGGCTTCCAGACAGACAGATTCACCGACAGACACTATACAAAGCACGTACATAAATTCAGAAGGCCAGACGGTTAGAGTTATCAAGAAAAGGGCTGTTAAAAAACCGGCAGCCAAATTACAAAAACCGGCAGCCAGATTACGAAAACCAGGGTTTAATCTGTAACTTAAAATCACTTACAGAGACGGGTGACGAGATCTAGTGCGAGAAAAGATGATGCTGTAGTGTCTCCTCCAGTGGAGGATGAAGACGATTTCTTTGATTGAAACGGAATGAGTTCCACCTACCCTCAATAGCTTGTGAAGTGACTTCTGTTTCATTTCAAACTACTGTTTTTTGTTTTTCCGATCAATTTTTAAGTAATAATTTGAACTCTAGAATATTTAACAGCTTTGAGCATACTGTCGAGTTTACTTTTAATTTCTGGAATTTTGTTTGGCAAGATGATGAAATGCTATATGGTTCACTCTCTTGCCTATGTCTTGGACTTTTTGATGCATCTGAATTGTCTTACAGTTGCTTGTTTGATTAAGTATTTGTTGTATATATAGATTTTAGTATTTCTATTTAATTAAACTGTTCTAATCAAAATTTTATAAGTTTTAATTGCATGGGGCCATCATTGAGTAATGGTTATGGTATTTCTATTTAAACTGAAACAACTACTTATCAAATGCAAATAGATTTATAAGCATCTTGTAGTTCCAATTCGGCCGTTCGATCGAGAAACTCTAAATTTAATAACCGTTGAACAACCATGTTTGTAGGGTTTGATTAAAGATTGTTGAATAATAAGTATTGTTGAATTGTTATCTGTTATGTACTGTACCATTATTTTGAGATTTCCAATTGAATCATTAAATGACGTCGTTCGTTTAGTAATCATTCAAATTATTCATTGAATTCATATTTTAGCAAATGACTAGTAAATAGTTCAAATTCAAAAACAACCTATTTATTAATAATGATAGAATGTAATGTCATTGGTTTTCAAAATTCGAAGTTGTTTACAACATTTACTGAAGTCGAAAATGTTCAACGCCTAACTAAAAGTAAATGGGCTACAGCAATCAGTTGCGGCCGAAAAGCATACATTATATTAGGACTAACAACTATAGCTAGTAATTGTTAATGTTAGTGAAATTGGAAAAATACGGCAGTCTTAAAAGATGTGTCGAGCTGATAAAGACTTTCTCATTGCAGTTGAACTACGATGAGAGAGTTTTTATCAGCGCAACACTTTTTTTGAGACCGCCGTATTTGTTAAATTTAATGTTCGTGTGCCTTCCCCCTTGCTGATGCTCTTAATGTTCCGTTGAAGCCTCAGAACATTCCGCTACTCTATATTTACATGTCCTGCAAAGAAAGAGTTCCACAAACCTTGGAATGGCCCAACACCAGAGATTGAGAATACTCAATCACAAAATGGGTGTTTTTATAAAATTATTCTTCAAAAAATAAACTTAATTCCAATAGCGAATATCTTTATGAAGGAGCAAACTAAGAAAACTTTTCGGTAGATTTCCAGACTCATGCTTGAACATATTTATCTAACTTCAATATAATTATGACTGATGACACAGATGAGTATTATTGGATTTCTAATTGGGGCCCAATTACTAAAAGTTCAGCTTTATGTTCAACTTCAAGAGACCCAAACTTTTATCAGACTTGTGGCTTTGTGGCGTGAAGAAATCTATTCAGCAGATACAAAGATAACATTAAACAGCGATATTCTTTGTCGAGACTATCAGTATCTGTGTCAATTGAGAAACTTGAAGAAATGCGGCCGTTTTCTTTTGTGGGTGGCCGTGGCCGCTCAATTTCCCAATCCGTGATGGCGTAATCGTATTTTATCATATTCCTTTTTTTATTTTTTTTTGTTTTATTATTAACAATAACATTAACAATTAAAATGGACAAACGGCGGTCGCAAAGCTACCATATACCAAAAAACCACTTTCTCTATCCCTTGTTTTTTTTGAGTCATGGATCGGTAAAAAATCTGGTAATATTCCAACGACATCGAATGCACATGTCATGCAATTCAATTAGGAACCGACCGGAATATAAAAACTATTTGACGGATGTTACTCGTCTAAATTTCTTCGAAGTAGCGCGCGCCGCTTTCTTCTCGAAATATTAGCCCGACGGCACGAGCTACGAAGTAGCGCGCGCCGGGCCAGATCATTAACTAGGGGGTGCACGATAAAAATAAACTTGCTCGGATTTTTAAAATTTTTGTACCACTGTTTTCTAGAGACTGTGAGAATTTTCACAATACCAAATTTGTCATACCTTTTTGAAAAGATCAGTGAGTTTCGCCTAGGTGCCATATTTGATAGTGCGCGGCTTTTGGAGCAAAAGTAGCTGTAAAAGTCGCGTAATTTGACCAAATTCGTCCAAATTTGACCATTTTTGTCGTATTATTTGGATTTATCTTCAGTTCCTTAAATGAGATCATTCTGGAAATTGGCGACGACCTTCTAATAGGGCTTTTACAACTGTCCGAAAAATTTGGTGGATATCGGACATCGGAGTTGATATAGTGATCAAAATGGGGCAAAATACGCTGCTTTTAGCTGTAACATAATGTCTGATGGTTGGATATGCTTTAAATTTTTCGGACACTTTCCTTGTAAGTCTATAAGTAAGCTTACCAATTTTTGTTGCAATTGGAGGTCGGGAAGGATACTCAATATCTATTTGTTTGAAGAAAATTGTGCTGGCCGAAATTAGCGCTAAAAAACCATCCTACAGTCGGCACGCGCGGCTCACTGTCGATGGCGCACTACCTACATTAACAAAGGTCAAAATGACTATTAGTCTATGTAATAAGCGCCATGAGTTGGCACAGAATTTTTTGTCTCTGATTTTGATAAATTTGGTACCAAAAGTTGCCTCTAAGTGTGAATAATGCAAATTCACCGTGTAGCAAAATAATGTCGAGCTATATGTGAGCCTCCTGTGCATTATATTACTTGGAGGACTTCGCCGCTTCGACGCGCCGCGCGAACTAGCATTCTTGCTTCGCATCGTCGATCGTTGCTTTGCTTCGCAAAGCAACGATCTCGATGGGTTGACATTGTCAACCAAGTGCATTACAAGAATGTACAAAGGACGAAAAATGGGTAATTTATTGCTTAAAATGCATATAACTCCTAAAATATTGAATATTTTGAAATAATTATTACAGTATCGTAATGAGCTTAGTCAGACGCAACTTTTGGTACCAAAATTATAATATTTGAAGCACCAAATTTTTCGAAAATCTGTTCAAAATTTTACACAAAAGGGGGACCCTTCTGTTCAGATTTAAAACTTTTGAAAAAGAATTTCCTTTAAATCTTAAAGCATTAGTACTAAAAGTTTCGTCTCGATGAGCTGATTACGATGCCATAATAAGTATGTGATAATAATTGAAAACGTGAAAGTTGTAGGCCAAAAACTAAAAATTTGCGCGAAAAAAGCACGCGCGGCGAACATGAAGCGCCGTGTAGCATTTTTAGCGAAAATTGCTACACGGCGGATTTATTTTATTCACATTTTTAGACAAATTTTGGTACCAAATTTATCGAAATCGGAGAAAAAAAGTTCTGTGCTCGCGCTTGGCGCTTATTACACTGACTATATGAGCATTGAGCGCCATGCATGGGCTTTTATGAGTTTTATAATGTGTTTTGGCTGCCGGACGGGATTTTTCCGGATATATCAATCTATTATCCGGTTAGCCGGATTTAGTTGCCGGACCGGAATTACCGGTTGTTAGAAATTCAAATATAGAAAGGCCGGAAAATATAAGTGATAAGGTAATGGAAGTGTGGTACTGCGGAAGCTGAATATCCGGAAAAAACTTTGACGAAAGGAATTAATATTTTAAACTTTGACGAAAGGAATTAATATTTTGAAATGTCCTATTATATTAGCTTAAGAAATTTTCAGATTTCAGCTTTTCGCAACACATGACTGAATTTTTTTTGAATGACCAATTATATTATTATATTAATGAGCTCACTGTGGATGGCACAGCCACAAGACACGGTTGAGGTACTCAAAGTTAAGGTACTGAACAGTTAAAATAAAATGTCCAGCAATACTATTATCACACTCTGATATTTTTCAGATGAGATTAGTTTCCAATTTAAGATTATCCGAGCTGAATTAGTTGAAGGGGATGGGGACTTTGCTCAGGGAGGTAGATAGGTGGTAGTTTATCGGTCAGTGGGTATAAGTGTAAAAATAAAAAACAAGATCTCGAATTATAATTTTAAAATTACTACTACTACTACTAGTACTATAAGTATAACTACTGTTAAAGAAAAAGTTTATAAGAGTTTTTAAAAGTTTGATTGTAAGTATAAGTCATTAAGTTTAACGTTTCTTCAATATTAGATGGTTCTTTCAGCCCTTTCTCTGTTCCTCTACATCATGAGCAGTTAGCAGCGATAACAGCCAAAGTTGTAGAAGTTGTCGAAGGAGCCGCGATCCTGCCTCTTGGTAAAATTCTGGCAGAACACCAGATGCTATCTCCCCTGTTTACAGATAGACTCCAGAGAGGGTTCCGTTGATACGAACATAATCCTAAGCATGCAAACGATACTCTCTATTGTACACTAATTCATAACCCTTTATGTTTAAAAATCAGTTCTTTTCTTACTGCACCAATATACCTAAATGAAGCTACCTGTTCATGTTCACTTTCAGTGTCCACTAGATCCTATATCTGAACCCCTTTCTTCGCTCCTGAACTTCTGCAGGCACATGAGTTAATTCCTTGTCCCCCGTCTCAATTAAGAAAACTGCTGCCAAAGCACAGAGAAGCGAAAGCACAGCAAGGAGTATCCACGGAACTGCTCTGGTTGTTGCTGGACCCAGATTGTTGAAAATATAGGGTCCGGCAAAGCCTCCAAACTTACCTAATCCTGACCCGAGAGTGAAAGCAACTCCTCGGTGGGATGTCGGCGCAATCTCTGACGTCCACAGGTAGACATTAGAGAAACAGATGCTCACGGTCGTCAAACCTATCAGAGACAAAACACTATCCAATCCCCAACCGTTGCCTAAATCCACATCCGCTATTGCAATCAGGAACACCAGGGCCGAAAGACACTGGAAGACAATCATGGCCCTTCTCCTGCCCAGGAACTGTATCACTGGCATACTTAGAAAATACGCTATAGCCTCTCCAACTCCTGACATCACAAACCCAAGGTAAAGGCTAGCCGAAGGCAATATCATATCCCATGCAAAGTTAAATCCGTAGTAGAACATATTAATACAGAACCAGAGAGGTGCCAGGCATAGGCCCTCCTTAAAAAGTACTGGGTAAGTCCACAGGTCTTTCAGCTGCTGGATGAAAGTCTGTTCCCTATCATTCACCTTCTCCGTATCTACAATCTCAATTTCATCTACGTCCAGATCAGCTGTAGTCAAAGCAGCTAGCGCTTTCAGCGATTTCTTTGCTGCCTTCATATCGTTATTGACGAGGTGAAACCGTGGTGACTCGATCAGAAACACATAGACGTGAAGATTACAGACAAGAGCTAGGATCGCCGTTGTTAGGAACATGTAGTTCCAATCGTAATTGAAATATCCGGTCGCTATTAAGAATGGATAGCCAGCTACCCATGTTAGGCCCTGAAAAGCATTCACAGAGGTTCGGTACTTGATTCCCGTCAGTTCCATCATTAGTATGTATGTTCCAGTGAAAGTCACGAAATCTCCGAAACCAGTGAAGAATCTGATCGCAAGGATGATACTGTAATTATGGCACCACGTTCCCACCAGATGCGCAATGACGGTGACCAAAACAGATACCCTCGCTGCCTTCACTCTCCCAATATTGTCCCACACATAACCTCC